CCGAAAGCCAAGTCTCCTATAGTATCGAAAGCGACGTAATTGAACCATTTTAGACAGTCTAGATATGCAGTCTGGTTTGCACCAGCCTTAATTAGTCCATCCCAACGGCTGACGAAGGTCTTGAGGTTTTGGTGGATGTAAGGCTCAAATTGGACCACCGATTTTGGAGCAAAGGTACTAGCGACGAGCTTTCTCTTCCGAGTATGCTCAGCGCGGTCTCTAGTATTAAATAGTCCGCGTCTGATCGAAACGAAGGCATCGTAGAAGTCGGACTTGAGGAATCCGTTCCCATGGCCGTAGATGACCTGGATAGCGTCGTCGTCGGCAACGCTGATATGGTTTGGTTGGACCCGCACGACAGGCCCAAGCTTCTTGTGGACGTCGTCCACTATGAAGTGGCGTTTACCTCGCCTAGCCGTGTATAGTAGCCATAGGTTGGTAAATTGAGCCGGAAAGGGGGCGGGGATATCTCGAAGGTGGCCGTATGTCACTAGATACGGGTAGAGGTAGTAGACGACGACAGCAAAAGCTCCAACAACTAGTGACCAAGGCGACACAAGCTGGTCAAGAACTGCCATATTGGTCGAGGCTATATCTGCGACCGGTTAGTTCTTTCAGCAGTCTAAATTTTACCGATCTATGTTGGTATAAGTAGTGAAATCAAAGATTTTCCTTTCCAAATGGGTTTTGCCGCTTGTAACACATAGATACGTTTCATCCCATGTTCCCTGAGACGGGGAATTCCAGCGAACTACACGAATTATATATAATGGAGATTTGTATCACCAAGACAAACTTATTTGGAGGCGAGTGCGGAGGGTCCCCTCCATTTGAGTGGCGGTAGTAGCATTCGGGTTCTGTGAGTGAAAAGTTAAAGGGAAGATGGGACTATGGGACTATGGGACTATGGGTCCCGTTTCTCGCGCTAACTCAGCTCATTCCCATCGTCCCCAGCTCCCCCATCTCCCCCATCTGGGGAAACTAGTTAATTGGGAAGGCAGCGTCTGCACTTTGAGTCTATGACCAACAATTTCGTTGCGAGCCCCTGGTACCTTCCTGGCCGATGTTCACTCCACTAATGGTACCTAGTAGCTAGATCTTGGAGAAAACGTGCACCAATCGCGAAGGCTGGGGATGCTGCTGGTTCACGCTGTGGGAACACGGCGAGGAGGGGCGGCGTGTATTGAGACACACACACACACACACACACACACACACATGTTCAAATATCTCCTCACATGAGAGTGATGCACAAACACTATGACGATGTTTCACAACTCGTATAAATCCATATAACGAATACGTTGTATTCCCACAATTGTTGGCTCATAATCGCTGCCGCGATCTCGTTCCGAGTCGGGGTTCATCTTGGCAAGTCGTTGTTTAGAACTTTTGGGTGGGGGAGAAAGAGATTTGAAATGGGTAATATCACATTGGATCGCGAATTCGCCCTACTGAAGTAGTATGATTGACATTGAGGTAAAAGGCATCTGATTTGATATGAAGGTGAAGAAGGTGAAGTCTTGCCCTAGTCGATAATTGGAGCTTGCTTCCAGCCCTAGCTGACTACTCTATATCTGAATATTGACCACATATTAAAATATTATCAGATAAATCAGCAGTATGCACTCAACGCAGCATATGCACTAACACATACAACGCGCAAGCAACCTGCCCTCTCCTCGGGATGTCAAGCTGACGTAAATTCTTACCTGTCAGAAAATGTGATACCATGGATGAATTACGAATGCGCCTAATATACTAATCTCGAGGCTTTCGGTTGATGGAATCATCTTTCCCGACCCGGACCTTGGCTATTATGGACGATTCCGGGCCTCGGCTACCGGCGTGGAAATTTCGGGTGGGTTGCGCTTGGATGACAGGGGATTTGGGAATAGGTCGAGTCTATGATTAATATTTTCAGATAGGTATCAAATCACCCGACAGACCAAGAAACGCGATTGGTCGAGTTAAGAACTAATTGGTATTTTTGGTTACTCGAGTCTATCCAGTGACAAAATTCAATGGAACTATGCCTGACGATGCTCCCACTACCCCGCTACTCCGATAAGTACCTAGGTAATTGCTTATAGCTTTCCGGCTGTACGGAAATCTTCGAAGGCCTCGATAACACGAGCCTTCATGGTCTTCTCGCCTTCTCTCACCCACACACGAGGGTCATACTTCTTCTTGTTCGGCTTGTGGGGACCTTCGGGGTTGCCAACTTGGGTCTTCAGGTAATCGATGTTCTTTAGGATAAAGTCACGGTGACCAGTGAGGTATGCCCACTGAAGGTCTGTGTCGAGGTTGACCTTGACGACACCGTGAGAGATAGCCTCGAGGAATTCATTCTTGCTGGAACCAGAGCCGCCGTGGAAGACAAAGTAGACGGGCTTGGTTTGGCCATCGTTGAGCTTCTTGGCGACATGAGCCTGGTGCTTACCGAGTAGTTCGGGATGAAGCTTGACATTTCCGGGCTGGTAAACACCGTGTACGTTACCAAAACCAGCGGCAATGCTGAAAAGAGGGGAGATGGGGCTAAGAGCCTCGTAGATGGCAAGGATATCTTCAGGTTGTGTGTACAAGGAGTTGTTGTCAACATCTTCGTTGTTGACACCGTCTTCCTCACCACCTGTCAGACCAACTTCCATTTCTAACCATAGATTCAATGGCGCCGATCGCTTGAGATACTTTGCTGTCGTCTCAATGTTGTAGTCGAGAGGCTCCTCTGATAGATCAATCATGTGACTGCTGAAGAGAGGGGTGCCGTGTTCCTTGAAGAAGGCCTCATCGGCATCGATCATGCCATCCAGCCATGGGAGAAGCTTCTTGGCGCAGTGGTCACTGTGTAGGATGACGGGAACACCGTAGACGGGGGCCACTGAGCGGACGAAGTGTGCGGCGGCAATGGCACCAGCGACAGAAGCTTCTTGGTTGCCGTTGGGGATGGACTTGCCCGCGAAGAAAGCGGCACCTCCGTTGGAGACCTGGATAATAACAGGAGATCGAGACTCCTTGGCTGCTTCAAGGACGGCATTGACAGTGGACGACGAGGTTACGTTGACGGCGGGAAGAGCGAACTCGTTCTCTTTGGCATATTGGAATACCTAAGCAAAAGAAAAAAAAAGAAAGGTGTTAGCTTTCTCGTGTGAGGTCATAGGTACAAGGGTAGCATAGTCTGGTTACTCTGGTATTGGATATAGCTAGCGTACCTTTTGAACGTCCTGGCCGTAGATAACGCCAGGCTTGAGGTTCAGCTTGTCCATCAATCCCATTATGACTGTCGTTGTTCAGGCAATTGGCGAGATAAAATAGGTATATTTGGGTTGTGTAGGAGGTAGGTGCTCCAAAAAGTCAATGTGAGAAATAATGATGGATTAAATGTATCCTTGGTTTTAAAATTGGTGAGAAGTCTGAGGGAATTAAAATAGCAAGGACGAAAAAATAGTTGAAAGAAGGAGGGGGGCAGCGTTTGGAGGGGTTACCCAGTTATGTTAGTTATGTTGGGTCAGATCAGATCCACGGTGACGCAGAAGCGCAGAACGGCCGATAATTTTATTATGGAGGCTTTTGCCTCTACCTCAGGCGCCACCCGGAATATTTCGAGAGGTACCTACTCTGTAGATTGTATTATCGTCTATAAAAACTGGGCATTTTTAGTCAAAGCTTTTTTGGGGGGTCCCTTGACTTTTTTACTTTCCACTAGTGGCCACTATGCCCAGGTACGTTGATGTGCCGTTCCGGGCACTTTCCGGAGAAATGGACATCTTTAAGATCTGTAGAGCTTTCTCAGATAATATGAAAGTAAAATGCCGGCGATCTTGTTCGGTTTACCCCTCCAAACCGTCAGTTTCCGTTCGGGATGTCAAGGTGGGGTAACCCGATTACTTCCTTTCTTTGGAGGACAATTGATTTGGAACTTGTTATAAATTGGACCTATATCTACTAAGTAAGCAGTACAACTGCAAGCTGCGAGAATCACGAATAGGCCATCCTATATCAAAAGCTGTGTGACAATTGGAAAGCAGTGTTGAAGTCAATTGCGGAGAATCTTTCATCATTCGATGCAAGTGTACGAAGTACCATGGGAGTCAATCGAGACTGCCCCGCCAGACCCTCCTGATAGTTTCTAAACTTTCAAGGTTCCCCCACCATTCCCACTTTCCAGGGTTCCAACCTTCAAGTTCCAAGTTCCATCCGTTGAAGCTCCTTATCTTATCAATGAATTCATTGGGCACATCCATGACGTTGAATGTCCTTGCAGATTCAACTTTTGGCGGGTCGAGTGCTCGGCTTACATCTTCTACATCTACATCTTCATCATATTACTACGTACTATTCTGGATGAGACAGTTTAACGGTATTGTCCTATGTTCATATCAATCGAATTCTCCTCGATACGAGTTACACCGTCAATATCCCAAGCCAAGTCTCACCGACAGGGATCAAAGGTCGAGATTATCAAGTCGAATCAAACCAAGTCAAGTAACTCCGAATCTATCTACTCTTGGCTTTGAGGCTTTTTCTAGCTGAACTTAAGAGTTGATTGGTTGCCACGTGGGAGATATTTCCTATGATAGTAAGTACTAGATGCCAATATCTCATCAATAAGTCTTTTGAGGTATTATAACTAAATATAGATAATTCGCGCTTTTCTATTGATTGGAAGTTTGGGACAGACAACGCGCGTATAGCTTCGTTCCATTAACCAAGAAGAGACAACAGCTATTCGCACCGATTCGGTCAAATCCACATTATCAACTCCATTCGAATCCGTATACTTAATCTCTTTATACCAGTAATCCCCCAGTCTCGAACTATTATGCAGCTTATCATTGGTCCATTAACTAAGGCTAGACCCAGCGACTGGGGCTGCTGGGACCATTGCTAGTAAAAACTAAACAACGCCATTGGTCGCAACCGTAACCCACGAATATAATACAGTATATGCGAGATTCTCATCATCTTTCCACCCGTACTATTGGAACGGTCCATGGCAAGGCGCAGTGGCAGAGTGGTCTAATGCGTGTGACTAGAATATCTAGAATATCTTGAAAAAGGTGATCACATCCCTTCGGGGGCGTCTGTTCGAATCAGGCCTGCGTCGTATCTCTCTTTTTGCAGGAATATTCCAAGGTTCTTCATTTTTAATATGCTGGATGTCTATGCTGTATGATTGTGTGAAAACTCTTCACTTGGTAGGGTTCGCGACCCAGTCACCTCATCTGTCATTTATACTCGGCGAGATTAATATCAGTTAGAAAAAAGCAGACAATGATACGACACTGGCATTTCTATATAATGACTGATAAGTGTAAGTCATATGTACGATTCTCAATATTAGAAATTTTTACAATGGACAGTGATGTTTCTGAAAATTTAGACACTTACCTGGTAAGTGGTTGTTTTATGTACCCAGGACCCAGCGGGGTCTTACGTACTAGTTTTCAATATTTACCCAGAAATGGATGAGTCTGCATAATTACCTGTTTCTCATCGTCGTAGAGTCTGAAGCAGCAACAGCGACCTTGAAAAACCCCCGTTGTACAATACGACGCAGATCTCGGAAGCTTGTCGACTAGCGCCAGTCTTTGCCGAATCCCGATTAAGTCTACAGATCTGTACGGGTACGGGGCTCCATCGACCCTTGAGATTTTATCTCTCTCTTTTCTTATTATTACAACGCTGAATCTGTAAAAGATTACCTTCATGATCTTAGCGCACTCATATCTTCCACGAAATGGTTTTTTCTTCAATTCTTCCAGGTGTCATTCTTACAAACTATGTCTGCCCTTTATGTGTAGGTACAACCCCTGGTCAGCCAGGTATCAGCTGGAATTGGAGAGTAAACGCATGTGCATGCGCATGACTATTTTGATGGTATAGGAAATAAATCGTCACCCTTCTTTTCAGCTATGATGGAGCACGCATCTAGATCCCTGTCTTAGGGTTGGGGGCTAAATCTGTTCAATCATTTGGTTAACAATTCTCTACCGCCCACCTGTGTAAACTTCAGATTTTTCGTTGATATTTATCACTATCTAGATACCTACTGCCATGAAAAAACACAGATATGGCAAAATCAATCCAATCAGACTTCTCGATGGAGGAGATGTGGCAGGACGTTACCGTCAGATTCAACGAGCGCACAGGCATCAATATCAACGTAAAACCACCAAAGACTCTAGACGACTGCATCAAAGAGTTAGAAGCTACCCGAGTTCCTGTCAAATCTGATGGGAAGAAAGATTCAGAAAAGATGGAGAATTATGGGCTCAATATTCTTCGTTGTCTAAAGTTACTTGGTGGTGTGGCCGCACAAGGAGCTGAGATGGTGAGTGGGTTTTGCTAATGTTTCAACCATCTCTTCGAAAATATGAAGCTATACTGAATCTAGTTAAGGTCTTCGGTGCACCATCTACCATGTGCTTCAATGCGCTCTATATACTGCTAGATATCCCGGAGCAGCTCAAGTCCTTCCGCGAAGCGATTGACGGGCTGTTCGAGACCTTGGCACCTTCTCTCAGCGTCTTCAGAATCTATGAGAAGATAGACCAATTCAACGATATCGAGCCAGAACTCAAGCAGGCCATTCACCAGGTAATGATAACATTTGTCGACATTTGTGCTCTTTCCATCCAGCTTCGAGACTCGGGGAAATGGCGCAAGTTCAAATCCAGGATGAAGTTTCTTGTGATTCATGATGATTCGGGCATCAAGGCCGAGATTGAAAAGTTAGAAAGGCTTACCAATGCTCATCACTCGATACAGTCTACTCAAACTTTGAAGGTTGTACTTGATACTAGGAGTGATCTTACGGAATACTTGAATAAGGAGTCGGAAAGAAGCCAACAAATAGCGAGTGATGTAGCGAGCCTCAAAGCGTCCGATGACAAACGCAATGTGGAAGACAGTAGGCGTAAATATGTTGAAAACATCAAGAAGAAACTTGGAATCGAAGACCCGGCCCTCAAAACCTTCAATGATATGTGCGACAAGCCAAGACGGGATTGCGTGCCCAACACCGCGTTGTGGCTTGTGAATCGTCCCGAATTTCAGCAATGGGCCGAGAGAGATAGCAAGGAAGCCAAAAACTTATTTATTCTAACAGGCGCTCCAAACACGGGCAAAAGTGTCATGATCTCATCCGCACTTCATCATCTGCGGTCTATCTATGAATCGTCAATCAGATACGCCACAAGAACACTGATCTCCGCACACTTCTTCTCGAATACTACAGCCAAAGATGACCAAGACAAGACACCTATTGCAACAGCTCTGAAATGTATCGCCATTCAACTGGCGGAGCAAGATGGCGCGTACGCCAAGACTCTTTCACAGGCTTGCGATACCAAGAGCGGGAATGCCGCTTTCTTTAGAGACGCTAGTTGTCAAGAACTTTGGGACTTCCTTCGGATTGGCTTACCTAAAGGCAACGCCACCCACTATCTTATCCTGGACGGCATCGGTGGTTTGCCGGACGAGTCCTTGGATATAAGGAGCCAGAAAGAACAGTTACTGAAAATCATTAGGAAATCTGTGCAGCCATCAGTACGGGTATTGTTGTCTGTGAGGCAGGATACGTTACCACCAAACGACCTCCCTCCACACTTCAATTTTGATATCGAGCAGCATAGCGAAGAAGACATTCGTAGATACATCGAACATTATCTTGGAAATAATGATCTTCTCCAAGACGACGAAGACAAAACCCTTAGAACGAAGGTTGTGGATACCTTGGCCACGCAGGTGGGCGGTAAATTCAATAAGGTGAAGGCCGCGCTGGAGAATATTAGGGAGGTCATAGCCTCGGACGGATTGGAATCGGAGCTCTATCGGGTTCTGGACGAGTCAAATATGAATGAGAAGCAAATATCTCAGACTATCATCAACCAGCTGGAAGAACGACTAACCGGAGAAGAGATCGACGAACTCAATGAACTCCTCATATGGGTTATCTGTGGTAGAATTTACTTTGACATCGACACACTCAATGCCGCTCTGATTGTTCGCTCCAAAAGAAGAGGAACTCTGCGATTGAGGAAGAAACTAGAAGGCAAATATTCTGGCATTTTGAAAATTAGGAAAGATGGTACGGTAATGGTCACTGAAGATATGGAGGAGGCGCTCACGAAAAGGAGAGAGAAGCCGAGGAGTGTCGATGATGCGCCGACGTTTACTGCGACGATCTCTGTTTCTAAGGGTGACGTTAGGAGCGTTCAGTCATTTCTATGGAGCTTGTCTCAGAAAGTTGACTCCTTGGCCCACGACACGTTTGGATTCCAGAACATTACAGAACAAAAAGGCATCAAGAACAACATACAATTGAATCAAGTAGACGCGCACCTCAGCTTAATTAGGCGAACGTTCAGTTTGCTTGCCAATGAACCAACTAAGGAATCAAGAGTACTAGGCGGATACCTTTTCAACTTCCTGCCACAGCATCTTCAACAACTTTGGGAAAAATCAACCGGATACGACGAGCTTACGTTATCCCAGAAACAAGAGATCGGCGAAGGCCTTTTTTCGCTCTTCGTTAGCGGAGAGGCGGTCGAAAGACATTGGGATAGCTTCCAATCAAACACATGGACACGCCTTCCCGAAGAAGTAGGGTTCTTCCGTTTATGGCTTAACGAGCCAGACGTCACCAGCCGTTTGGGACGGATGGATAGAGACTGGCTGAAAAAGGTCAGGGAGAGCTCAAATCCAAACCAGGCCCTGCTTGAGAATATCGCACGAACAGTTGCTTGGCACTGGTTATGCGATAGGGAGTGGGCTGCCGTCGATGCGTTCCTATGGGTGAACAATATACGTATTGTGCCGCCAAAACCTTTTAGAGAAATGCAAAACGAAAATGATCTGGTGTACACCGATATTTCGGTGAAGATTCGGGAAACTGTCGAGTGGTGTAAATCAGTCCATTTTGTCACCACTGATGATGAGCAAGCTCTCATGTATGAACGCCTTGGAGAGACATACGTTGCCGTATATCAGTTTAAGGAAGCAATTGAATCATGGAACCGTTCTATTGAGTTGAAAAGCCCGACCTGGCAGTGCCTTGCGGCATTAGCAGAAGCTCTCTCGATGGTTCAGAAGTATGAAGAGGCTTGCGAGAAGATGGAGAGGGCGCTGGATATGTTACACGGCGAAGATATCCCGAAGAAGGACACTATCACTAGCGAATATTATAGGTGCCTTGCCAAATGGCAAGTAAAGCTCAAGCAACCTAAGCGTGCTATCGAATACGCGAAACGGGCGATCGATCTACTTCCGGACGAACACGGGCCCCGGTTGGAACTTCTGAATATCTATTTCGATAATAATTTCATTAATGACGCAATTGACTTTCTGGGCGATTTCGTCAAAGCCGGGCATCCAAAGAATGGAATAAGTCTGTTTGGGCGGGCTATGCTCTCTGCCCCGAATATCAAAAGAATGCTCGCTCAGTGGTTCAATTCCCTTTCCGGACACGCAGATATATTTGCCGGCGTACTCGAACAGATAGATCTTGTAATTGAACGAAAGAGAAAAGAAAAAGACATTGCTGAGATAGCGTTGTTGCTTCTCTGTAAGGGCATCGCAATCTATCGTTATAACCTAGAAGAGCCTACGCGTGTCCAAAGGGCTCTTTCGTGTTGGGAGCAATGCGTCGGTCTTGGGCCATATTCTGGGATCGAGGCTCAAGCACTTGCTACAAGTTGGCTATGTGGTTATTACTTTGACCAGATCAATATTTTGAGAAAGTCGGACTCACTTGGTGTCGAGACCTATCTCGAGAAGATGCATGACTTGACCCGCCAGACACCCCCGTCATCCAACGTCGCTGCAAGGGCATACTTGGCAAGCTACTATGCCAGGTTTGCCAAGGATATAGAAACAGCACGTGGTATTTTACGAGCACGTATTGACACGGCTTTTGAGATACTCTCCGATGGAGTTGATGAAAATGACGGCGATGGTTATTATTTCCTTGCAGAGGTTTTTCTGTGCTGTGGCGACGAAACCAAGGCATTGTCGGCATTTTGTCTCCCGCTGCCTTTATTATTTCATAAGGATTTACTTTCGTGGATTCTCGAGTCGGACTCGGATCTAAAGCAATCTCTGGGC